CTCGTTCTTCTTGTTTCTTTTCTTTTTCCTCCTACAACTGCTTTAATTTCTCTTGTTGTTTCTTTAATTTTTCTCCTACAACTGCTTTAATTTCTCTTCTTGTTTCTTTTCTTTTTCCTCCAACAACTGCTGTAATTTCTCTTCTTGTTTCTTTTCTCGTTCTTTTTGTTTCTTTTCTTTTTCCTCTAACAACTGCTGTAATCTCTCCTCTTCTTGTTTCTTTTGGTGCTCTTGTATTGCTGCCATCAAGTCTGCTATGCTGTAGTTTGATTTGCCGCTTCTCGTTTCCATTTTTTTTATCCCACTCTCTGACACCAATTTGTTACGTCTCCCTTTGTTAATTAACTTTCCGTAACTTCGTTCCGACGAAACTTTAGCGACACAAGTCCTTACTTAATAAAATTGGTTTATTCTTTCTGAATATAACAGTCGCTCTTTTACAAACGTTTTAACAAGGAACGTTAACTTCAACAATACGTCTCTCTCTGACTGCAGTTTAATTACTCATTACCTACACACACATTATTGTCACGTCACGCCGTGACCATCTTATATATATATACCAGACCACCCCCAATCTAGTAAATGCTAGAGCACTCCCGAAGGAACGGGATAGTTCTAGAAAGCAGGTGGCGTGGCAATAGTCACGTGATCTCGCTGACGCAACACAACGTTACAATTACCAGTAAACAGCGCCAGACGTAACTGACCAAACATCAGTCTAGACAGACTTAAGAAAAAAAAATCGGTTATTGCTATAATTAACAATGACGATTTTTGTTGTGCTAAAGTAATAATATTAGGCTTAGCATATCTCAGAAAAGATCCAAATTATAAGTATACTAGACATGATTGACGATCACTACCGACTGGCATGGCTAAAGAATTGCATTATTCAGCTAATGTTCCATAAGGCATAGAAGATATTATATTTGAACGTCATATAAATGCTCAAATACATAGTATTTTCGGAAAAATTTAACTATGTAATATATATAAAAGCAGTTCACACTCAGAGAAAATCTGTGGTATTATGATCACCATTTCGACGTTATAACATCAACGAAAGGTTTCCTCGGGGTAAATTATTATCGTTCAGAATGCGATGAATCATTTGAACAATTAAACAAATTGTTCATGGTACTGTAACGTTTGTTATAGTAATGAATGTGTGAACGGTCAAAACGTTGTCTGTTCAGATTGCAACAGATTTTGTAAATCTGTAGAATTTTACAATCGACATAAATCAATGCACGATAAACAAACGAAATCTTCGTACGAAAATTTTTTTTAATCAGTGCAAGAATCGTTTTATCATTACTGACAGTAAGAAACGTAATCCCGAATTTCATCGTTGTGGCGAATACATTTGTGTAGGATGTAAATCATGTCTTAAACAACCATTTATGTTGTCTCCAGCACAAAAATATCAAGGACCCATCAAATAAATACATTTTTGATTTCGATACAGATCAGGAAACAGGAATGCACGACGTAAATCAGACCCAATTTATCTTCGTCCCATGAAAACCATGACTGAGGAAGGGCAGTGGATTGGATAAAATCATCTATCTTTATTAACTGACAGATGAATCGTCGAGTTCTCATACTGGGATTAGGAGATGAATACCTAGATCTGGTACAATCATATATACGTAAAGGAAGATTGTCAAGCCGGATAAGACCAACAAAAATAGATAACTCTGCTCCCGTCAATCTGTTTCTTCATTTTCTACTTTATCAAGTGGATGTACGCCTGAATGACAAGCTCATTTCTTCACCTCACGGCTTTTAAGCATATAAAGCCTACACAGAAAGTTTGCTAAATTATGATGGAGAAGCAAAGAGAAGTCATTTGACATCATCTATGTGGACAACGGACACCTCGGGAAGTTTGAATGATCTTGATTTTAATGATTGTGAGAATGATGGAATCAAAGACGAACACAGATACACAATTGATGCGATTGCCATCTACATTGACATTTTTCTAGAACAAGTTCTTGCCCAATAGTGTAAGTTTAAAAACTCTGGCATGTACAAAGTAGATTCATTTTGTATTGTATCAAATGATGCATCGAGATTCAAAGTTTTACTACAGCACATTTCTATCTATATATAAAAGTCAAGATCAGCCCATCAGTCGTTCTGTTGCACGCTAAACAATTTCAGAAACGAATGGCTAAATATCGCTTGAAGTATATAGTGTGCAAATCATTCAATTCCTCGGAGAAACTTAATTATATTATGAGCATCTATCGATAATGCATTTTAGGTTAAGCATCTACACCTCTTATTATATGATGTGTTGATAACAATGCATTTAACGGATTGAAAAAATAACCCGTACAATCTTAAACAATACAGTATCAATTTCGAAGCAAATCACTATTGATGGAAAAACAGATTCATGCTCGATCTTTACAACCCGATTTTGATGCCGAAATGTATGCATAAAGTTATGAAACTATAGTTACTGGGATGGGAAAACAGTTTCGAGATCAAGGAATTCATATGGGAGAGGGGGTGACGATTACTCGGGAGAATATAGACTATTTACTTTTGATTTGACACCTACTCTTTCTGCTGGAGGTTCTCACTTGAATTTCGTGAAACATGGAGGGAAATATACGAACTGAAGTACATTTTGGTAGTGCTTTACCCCACACTCAGTGATCAACTACTTGACCATGCAGAAAAACAACTGTACATCGTGAATCTGGATCAGAGTTAAGCCTGGTAGCCAAAGGATCTGTATATTGTTTTGTCGAGATAAGAAAGGAGAATAATTTTATCCATAACATCAACACAAGATAATTCATCAACAACTGTCAAACTTGGACGTCCAATAAAAAAGTACTACAAAGACTGTACTCGTCTGTGCGCGGACAATATTAAATATATCTATCTTTGGTGTTGGCATATTACATAGTTATGTAACCCTCAGGTGAATAAATCTTAGTTGAGCCAGTATCTTCCGTATCGATATTTTTTGCAGATGTTTTGCGGCAAAACATTTCGATAAGTTATTGTAATACAAGTATTTTAACAAATACAGTCTCAGCAAAATCATACTAACTGCCAGTCTAATTAAGAATACCGTTTATTGAATTTCGAGTAAAGGTCCTAGAAGGCTATCTGCGCTTGCCGCCTCAAATTTAGAAGGGACAGACTAGAAGGAAGGCAGCTAGTCCACATCATTCGCCGCCAATTTAAGGCTACTCTAATCAAATAATGGGGTTGACCGTTACATTATCACTCCTTCATAACTGAAAGGGCGAACATGTTCTTTGGTGGGATTTGATCTCCCAGATTACGAGCCAAGCGCCCTGACCACGAGACGACGTACGAATACTGAAAAATGACACGAACAGTGTTTCAACTATTTGTTAGTAGAGGGCAGCAGTTGATACAAACAACATTTTGATTTTTTTTAATGCTCCAGAAAGCTATTCAAGTTTTCTAACAATACATTTAAACATTCATAATTAAAAGTGATAAAATATAAACTAAGGAATTAAATCTACTTACGATATTTTTCATTTAACGCCAAAAACATAGTACTTTGCAAAAAGTTAATCTAATGCAATTTAATTTTAAGTTAGAATTGTATTGTCGTGTCAACTCAGTTGAAAGCTGAGACCATTTTATCCAATTTTATGGAATTGTTAGCTTCACAATAAAAGTAGGAATTTAATACGATTTCTTTAAGCATTTAACTTAATGAACTATAAACTGGGTATAAAATACACATACGAAAAACTATCAATATTTATATATTGAAACTACAAATATGTGATGTAGTTCGCGTTTTAACGCGAATTGTAATGTATTATGATTAAATTAATAAATTTCGTGAAGCCCGTTGTGCGAGAAGGAAGTATCTGGAAATACTTCAGCTCTGTGCGTGCTACCGTGGGACAGAGACGTGCAGATAATGTTTGATGGGGTCGCTACAGTCGTTCTCTTCATACACTCCCCGCAGCCAAGGAAACACCTGAGTAGTTACGGTAGAGGTAAGCTAGCAGGCGAGACGAAAGTATAGTACTATTACTAGCGATAAACTACCAGAATCATACCTATAATTTTCACGATTCATGGTAAGTACCTAATTCGAAATTGTACTCTCGACCCTGGGTATTTTATATAGTAATCCAGGAAGGCAGTTAAAACACAAAGATGTCCCAATCAAGGGATGTCTTCGAGCAAAAAGGACCCAATCAAACAGTCTGCTACGATAGCGAAACGAATTTAGATGACCTCTTCAAGGCTGCAATGCTTCCAAAAGACAGTCAAGTACAGTTAAGTGGACCTCCTATGAGGCTTCGAAACCTTCCGCGATCTTTTTTTCAGCCGCCTGACGGGGGATCAAAATCAGCTTCACATAGTCGAGAATCAAGTTTTGAAGGAACATTTTCTCCTCCTCCCCCGTGTTCCGTTGGATCAAATTCGGCAACAACTTCGCCACAACAACAACATATAATTGTAAGTGGTTTAACAGTCAGTCATCGCCATACACATTCGTCTCCAGCATCACTGCAACAAAGTTACAATCAAACCACTTCCCAGCATCAACATCCGAGACAACAGAGTGCTGATAGTATAGACAGTATTCCTCTTCCACCTGGGTGGGAGATGGCAAAAACACAGTCTGGAGAGAGATATTTCATAAAGTAAGTTATATAACCAGAGCTTCGATAAATTCATTGTTTTAGCAATTAAATATAATCTTTACTATTTGATGGTTCTGTAACCTTGTTCAAGATTGAGTTTGAACAAACAATTTAAGTGAAAGCAATTGATAGCAAGTTCTAAATACAGAAATAAAATTTCGAAATTAGTTTCTTCCAATATTTTGTATTAAATAATAATAGTAATAAAAATCGAGCATAGAATAGGCCTACAAAGATACAAATGGATTAAGTTAGTTTAAGTATGTACCATGTTTATAAAATTAATTTAAGTGCTTGCTTGTATAATTATAAATACAACTTAGGGTGAGGATTCACTGGAAGTATTTACTTTAAATATCTTACTCGTTTGTAAAATGGTTTTAAAAACAGTTAAGTGTATTTTTAGTTTTGGAGAAGAATTTTAATTGTCTAATAATTGTAAATCCTTATTTTCCAAAACCAGGATAGGTGCACAAGTGTTTTTTTGTTGTTTTTTTTTTGTAATTCATAGAAATCATTTGATGAAGACAAAATGAAATATGCAAGCTTAGAATAATAAGGATTCACCATAAACAAAAAGTAATAGGTTATCATTTAAGAACACCACATAAACAAAGCACTTACTTTGATGGGAGAATATACATCTCGCAAACATTTTATAAATTAATCCAAGTACTGCAGGTAGTTTTGGGACATTAGTGTTTTGGCTTAATGAAGCACCTGTAATTAATCATTATATCAGGTTGTTTAATCAAGTTAACGTCTCATAATATTAAACGAATTATGACAAAGTATGAAAAATATTAATCAGTTGAGGTATTATGACTACATATATTTCTTATCGACAAGTTTATTGTAATCTGGTTAAATCATGTAAATAGTGTTTGTTTTCAAAACTTTTTTGGGGGTATAGGTATAAAAACTTAAAAATGAGCAAGTGGCTTAAGTTTCATTACAATCAGTATTTTCATTTTTACTTGTACAAAATTTGTTATACAAGTTGAGAGTGCATGTAACAAGGTAGAGTATTTTTTTCTTAGGATATTATTCAATCACTTTGTTGAAGTATTATGTTAGGTTAATTCAGTTTATATGGTACATGTATACCAGAGAGAGAGAGAGAGAGAGATTCATACATTTTAAAATCTAGTCCATTTCATGCACACACTTATTTAATAAGTATCATTGTGATAAGTTTTAAACTTAAGTACTAGTTCATTTTCAGCTTCACTGAAACGTTTATTTCAATAAACAAGTTTCCTGTAAATTGTTTCTGCAAATGTTTCCCCTTTTTTTTTTTTTTTTAACACTAAAGTCTTTAACATAACTAAATATAGGTACCAAGCTTAATTGAGTCACATTC